CCATGCTGGCTGGGGAATTCTGGGAGTTGAAGTCCACTCATCTTAAAGTGGCCAAGTTTGGACAACACTGCACTAGGGTATTCTGTTCTTGCGGTTCGTTATACCTCACTCATAAAAAGTGTGCCTTTTTAATGTTAAACGTATCCTTGGAAGGAACCTGCTTTGCAGATGAGCCCGACAAGGCTAACAAAGATGCCAGATGGAAAATCCAGCACCCTTTTTTATTGAGCTAACCCATGGCTTCCACAGTTGACTGTCAGGCACAACACGTTAAGCCATGGATCATGGAGGCTGGGTTCCCCCTGTATGCTAGCATCTCCCCTACCCCCACACAGTGCTATGGTGAATCCGTGGCTTGCTTCAGAAAAGGAAGTGGCTGATTTGCCCTGGGGAGTGAGGGGGGTATGGGAAGTCCCCTTCTCGGAGTTGTGTTTTCCTTCCTCCCCCTCCAACTTCTGGGCAGCCACAGCACGCAGAGAGAGCTCCTGACGCGGGTGGCCTTTTGCCCTACAGAGACGTTGACCCACGGGAGACGTCAGCAGGGGCACAGGCAGATCCCGTCTGGAAAGGAATCGGGCTACCTTGCACAGAGCTTGCTCTCTACGTGCCATGCAATGCCAGGCCATCGCGTGGGTTTGCCCAGCCCCTCCTGCTGGCTACCCACCGGCCAGCCCAAATTCCAGGATTCCACCAGTGGAGGAGCTGGGAAAACCCTCAGGAGAACAATCCAGGGTTTCAGGGGACCTAAACAGGCAGGCTGAGGAAAGGAAAGCGTGCCAGTTGCCTTGGACAGTTGCTTTCTCTCACCCAATATGGCGGCTGTGCGCTTCTCCAGAGCACATAGCCAGCTCCAGCAGCAATCATTTCCAGGGCCACAAAGCACTGCTTTACCGGCTGCATTTGGGAGATGTGGCCACGGGGCTTCCTTCGCAGCGGTTGAGATGATGCTACTTGTTAAGCTGCTCCCAAATAAACCAAATGTGGCTTAGCGCAAAGCATGCAGCACAAGCATATCGTGGAGGAATCAGGAAGATATATTGGGGTCGAATGTCTGCTGAATTCACGCTCTGCAGCGAAGCCATCTGGGATGCCAGAGAAACCAGGTTCACAAGCTGCCCCGTGACAACTGACTTCATTAAGGTGTGGCTGAATCCCACTCGGTGGGGCTCCCACATGGTCCAAAGCCATCAAGTCTAGTTTACCAATTGTCATGGATGGATTCATACAACACCGTGCACCAAATGATGGCTCAGAGCAGTGTTTCTCAACCTCAGCAAATTGAAGATATGTGGACTTCAACTCCCAGAATTCCCCAGCCAGCCATATCTTAAAGTTGCCGAGGTTGAGAAACACCGACTTAGAGGGAGGCAGAAGCCCAATCAGGCACTTAATTGTAATCTGACGTTACGAATACATGCCTGCCTTGTCACCTAGGGCTAGTTTAACAGAACTTCGTCTTCTGTAAGTCAGAATTGACTCCTGGTGACTTCGTGGAAGCATCCGCATCCGTTTCTGGGTAAACAGTAAGAAAGTGGGGTTTCCCTACTGGGATGTTTTTGCAACTTCCCCATCTAGCCGACCGTCCTGAGATTTCCTAGCATTCCAAGAAGTAACCCCAGTCCCAGCCCTGTTTAGCTTCCCCGTGCAAACAAGGGTAGCTGGATGCTGTATGTTAGGCAATTGCTTTAAAACCCCCAGGTCACCATTATCTGTGCATCAAGCTGATGTATGAAAAAGTTCCTTCTTCAGAAGAACTGAGTAACGTAGTAATAATGATTAGACCATTTTTAGTATTCCATAAAACCCACAGTCATCATATTATTTTAGCCCCCACTTCCCTTATTTCAGAACTAAACCACCACAGTAGTGGTGGAAAGTCTGGCACAAACCCACTAAATGGGGAAGAACATCACACTTCTGAACTAGCTTTCTAGACCAGCACTCAAAAATCATGTTTTGTGCTGTTATTTAACACAGAGAGGCATTAGAACATCAAGGTTCAGACTACTGAGCGCCATTCGCGAGCTCCTGGTACCCTCAGAAAAGTCCTCCTTTTGGCCCACGAGATTTTAATACGAGTGTAAGAGATCAGAGATTCCACTCTGGGAGTTGAAGCCCTCTGAAAAGGAAAAAAAAACACCAGTACAGCTTAATAACTCAACTTTTTTTTGCTGAAAGCGCCCGGCAGGCAACGGAGCTCAAGTTAATGCAACTTCCATGTTTTCAGCTGTCCTCCTATTTTTGGAGTTAGGCTCCACTTGGTGAGGGAGAAAACTTTCTAACTTGATATGCCTGTAAAACCGAAGATGAATTGTGCTTCTCTTCTTCCCTTTTCAGATTTTTTTTTAAAAAGGATATGAATCATATCTCACTAGAAGCATCTAACTGTCAGAAGATGAGAGATAGCTCAGCTCAAGCTGCACCATTAACCATTCTTCAAACACTTCGCTTTGCTCTGACCACTTTTAAATTCAGTCAGGCCAGGATTCTTCTCTTCCACAGAAGCAAAGGAAAAGGCAGAGTAGATCCTTTAGGCCGCATAGGGCAGATTCTGCCGGCTTTAGTATAAAATGGGTGCTGACAATGAAATCTACATTCTTGGTTATTACAATGGAATATACAGTACATACATATTCCACATATATGTGTAAGTGTGCACATGTGTGTACTGTATATACATATAGGATCCCCCAAAATAATAGGGCAGTCACTGAGATAAATACCAGTCACCGCAATATCATCATCATCATCATCATCATCTCCTACACATACATCTTAATTTTTTTTCTGATTTACTGCCAAATTTTACTTCACCTATTACATCTGGGGCGCCCTGTAGAAGCCTATCATTTGCAGGAATGTGAATCTTCTTGCGTAAAAGTCAGTCCTGCCAGACACCGAACGGTCTTCCGAGTGATGCGTCTCTGGCATGTATGTCCAAGCTCTTGGCAGGGCTGGCTACTCTGACCCTGGAGTTTCATTCCTTTGCCCAGATCCACCCCTGAGAGGCAAAGTGACTGCCTTCTCGTGTTTTGCTGACACGGCACAGCCCTGGCTAATTTGAGGCTCCATCCGGCTGAACGGCCCTGGGCTTTTTCAGCAGCGCTGGTGTGTGTGCGAAGGATCACAGCTGTCTTTGGCTGCCATTCAGGGGTGTGCGAGGAAACACCCTCTGACTCAAAAAACAGCCTGCTTGCAGAATTGCAAGCAGACAGCAAAGAGAACAGCGATGGCCGGGAAGGAAGGAAGAGACAAAAAGGAACAAACAGAAGTAGCAGCTGAGTTGGGAGTATCTCTCTGGAAGGAAAGCAGGGGGAACGGGGGCGGGGGGAGCGTTCAGCACTGCCTTCCCCAGCCTGGCCAGCTCCAGATCTCTAAAGGTCTTGGGCCAGGCTGGCTTGGAATTCTGGGAGCTGTAGTCCCAGCACATCTGGAAACATTTCGTTTGGAGAGGGCCAGTATCAGAGACTCGGGACAAGCGGATGGCAGCTTGACTGATTAAGCGCCAACTTTACCTGTCTGGAGCCTGGAAGGTATAAAGCTCTCTCTCTCACAAAAGGACACCCATGGAGGGTGTTAAAAAAGTCAAGATGGTGGCCATGACCATACAATTGTAGCCCCTTTCTTGCTTTATGTGCAATGCACATAAAAAACTGGGGGGGCTTCAATCACACAGTGGTGGCCACCACCTTGACTTTTTTGACACACCCTGTGGAGGCCTCGGTTCCTATATTAATTAGCATCTGAAGAAAATGATCAGTGGAAGTATCAGGAACAGGGGTACTGTAAGATATTTTAATTTTTTTCCACCACGGAGAGATAAAAATACAGAGTAATTATCCAGTCGTCGGTGATACAAAGTACTTGAAATACAAATATATATAAAAATAACAAAAGCTACTTTCACACATAAAACCACCAATTTAATTGCTGTTTATAAATTAATTCTACATAGCCTTGATCCGCGAGAATGTAGGTAGAACACAAAAAGTCCTCATTGGTTGGTTTCAAAAAAGTCTTCCTACGATCACTGGTTTGCAAAGACAAGGGTGGAACTATTTGGTGACTGGGAAGGGCACCCATGAAGTCCAATTAATGTCAGGAAATCTAAGGTGCATACGGGGAAAACTGCCTGAGTAATCTAGATGCACAAATTCTAGCTTACGCCAAAAAGAAAAAAAAAGAGTTAAAAACCTACTACATGCATTATGGTTTATTAAACCAGGAGGTTGCTCTGTTGTTCTCGGCGTCATTCCCAAGGGATTTTTCTTCCCAAAATACGATTGGTGATTTTCTGTTGGAAAAGAAAAGAACAAATCTGTTATGACAGAGAACAACCCCCCCGGAAGCCCCTTTGCTCCTTCCCATCTCTTTTTCCCTTCCTGCAGGACAGATGTCCAGATTAATGCGGAGGAGGAAGAGGAAGAGGAGACCCTCGAAAAAGCCTCCAGTGGCTAGCGGAGGTGAACGATGAAAGCCCCCACTTTGAACTGGCTTTCGCTTGGGAACGGGCCAGAAGGCCAGGGCCATCTGTGGGGGTGTGGGGTGTGTGTGAGAGATTTCAGATGCCACGGCACGCTGCCGTCCAATGGCCCGCCTCGTTCATCTCCCCTCGGCTGAATGATGCAACCAGGGCATGGGGCCTGCTCCAGGTCAGCCACAGGAGCCAAAGGTGTCTCTTCTGCATAAGTCTGAGAGCTGCTAAGAAAGCCGGGGGGTCTTCAGGCTCCCCCAAAAAAGAGCCCGGAGGACCCCCTGTGGAAGTGCCGCAGAGAGAGAAGACACCCTGTTTTACAGACTGCAGCCCTGCGTCCCGTTTGCAACGCTGCCCCCTAGTGGTTCACGCACAACGGCCGCTTCCTTTTCTCACAGCTGTGGGCAGCATGTGCCTTCATTTAGCCAGGATTCAATGCAGTTTCTCCCGGAAGAGTGAAATTTCTAGCCTGTTTTATGCCCTGCCTGACAACCTGCCTCACTAGGGAAGCCCTGGCCCTTGAGGGATAGCACCCTTCACCACCAAGAACGAAATCTCCACGCGATCATCCTTTCCTCCTGCGGGTCAGTTTGTAGCCACCTGCAACGGCCAACAGGGCAAGGCCCACTTGTAAGATGTTCGGTGCTTCAAGACAGATGAAAGTGACAACCTTACTGGCGGCCTCCAAGCCATGATCTCGGATCCCTGATAAGCCACAATACCCTTCCTCACCCTTAACAGAGGATCGGTGTTTGGGAGGTTCCACAAATCAAGGCAACATCTCTGAAAAATGCTCCCCTTCTAGTCCAGGACTGCTTTCCTTCTTCCTCCTTTTGTGGGACCCAGAATTCAGGAGCTCAGGGACGAAAAAGGGGGAGATGGAAATTCAACCCAGTCCTGCACACCCCACTACCCTTGGTGTCCCAATAAAGGTGGTGTGAGCAGCTTGGCCATCTGGTTCATTGACAGACCCCCGAGGCAGAGGAGGCCTGAAACACCTTAGCCTGGAATCTGGATTTGGTAGCCCTGCAGGCCTTTCGTTTTGTTCACATAGGACCAAGAACTTCTATAAAACCAAGCTCCCGCTGGTTCACGTTCCTTCCTAGGACCCATATTTACCAGTGCAAATCTGATCACAGCAAAAATAAAAGAATCTCATTTGAGCTTTGTTGGGCATTTAAAGGGTTTGCTCACTCTACTTTCTTCAAAGAACCCCGAGCTCACAGACAGAGGAGAGAGAGAGAAAGCGGACTCTGGTCTAAAAGTCACTTCTGTGTCCATGCTAGCAGCACTGACCAGAGGATCAACGGGGTTTGGGCTTCTATGAAAGCACAATGCAAAGCCTGTCTCTCTGAGGGTCTGTCATCTTCACATTGTAAACCAAGCTCCTAAAACAGGGGTTTATGGAGCTGATCTGCAGGGCTACTCCACTCTTTCGATGGAAACTTTGGGAAACATTTCAATCTTACCCCAGTCTGGAAGTAGAAAAGTTCCAGCTTAACCTTCTATTCTTCGAAAAGCACACCCACTGAACGGGTTCCTACTGTGAAAGTCTTGAGGTCACCCTTCATCCCCCTATCCCATCTCTGACGAGCTAGTTCTCTCTCACCCACAGCCTGGCATAGGCTAAGGACCTGCTGTTTCTGGGAGTGCACTTTGTAAGGCACAAAAACGCTATCACGGTATCCATTGTGCTGCGCTTCTAGAAATCAAAATGAAAAACGTGTTCCCTTTCCTCCTGCTCAACAAAAAAGCAAGGCTTACTGCCTCCAAGTGGAGGAAAAGATAGGAAAGAATTCTGCAATTCCATTTCCTGATGACTCACTGACTCACATATCCACCAAGCTGAAGGATGAACCCTTTCAAGCCACCTTCTCCTGGATCCCTTTACCACATCGGATGCCAACCAAGGTGTCTTCCTATAGTAGCAGAATCTGCCTCTCAAACAGGTTGCCATCGGATAGGCAAAGGTGAGGGCTGGGCTCTGCCAGGGCATGGACCTTAAGGGACCAGCCCTCAACCAGCACTTACTTTAATCAAGTAAGGTGTTAACACACCAAGCCTGGACCTGCATAGCTGGACATAAGTTAGCATGACTACTTCACGGTTCTCTTTCTCTCCAATGATTTCTTGCCCAGACCTCCTCCTGTCTGACAGCTTTTGGACTCCCCTTTTCCCCAGAACTGAGCGCCCCCCCACCCCAACTACCCACTGCCTTGCTTGCTTAGACTCCCTCTCCAACCCTCTTCCTGGAAAGAAGGAGAACCCATCAGGCTTTGACTGGAGGAAAAGGAAGAGAGCACCCACCGTTTTATAAAGCTGGGCCTTTAACCGGTTGGTGGAATAGTCGGACTTCCTCTTCTCTTCTTCGCGTCTTTTTCGCACCTCAGGCAGCTGCTCGTAGATGCTGACAGAGGAAAGGGAAAGTGAGAAGGCCACTTGGAAGAAAGTGATTCCACCCTACACCCTAGCAAGGTTAAGTGAGTGGAGAGTCGCGGGGGTGCAGGAGGTTGTGCAAATGCGGCTGGGACAGAAGGAAGCCTCTGGCCAAAAATCAGACCTCACGCCAACATGCTTGCCACGCTCCTCGCAGCTGCTTCCTTTGGCCAAAGCCAAGGTCACAGTCCCAATTCAAGACCTGCTGTCAGCCCAGTCCCCCAGGGCTGCCCTTGCTCCCCAGAAGGAATCCCCACATTAGGATCTTCCTCTGAATAAGGAACACCAGGCAGAGGAAAATGAAACCGCTGCTTCGGAAGCCAAAGCCTTCTATGCAATGTTCTGCAATTGCTTCACTTAAAGGACTACTGCAGAAATCAAGCCAGGATTTGTTAGCCTGGCTCTGGATGCTACTCCTAAAGGTGACCCTTTTATGGGATGTTCATTCCCAGCAATTTCCCCACACCTAACAACCCCAGAAAGAGAGGGAGGCAGCTGGATCGCCGCTGTGGAAAGTGAGCTACAGGCTAGTATCCAGCAGAACCAGGGCTGGGAGATTAAACCAGGTGACAGGAGCTGGGAAAATTTCCAGCCTGGAGACACGATTCTGACTTGGGTGGCTCTGACGCCCTTTCCCTTAGAGAAATAGCTGGAAGGCAAGCAGCTGTCAAAAGGGATAGAAGGGACTGCTCAAACGATGCAGAAGGTGACTAATTTTGTTCTTACGGAGAAGACTGCCTGTGAATTCCTTCAGCTTCATTCCAAGCTCCAGAACTGTAACATCTATGAAACCCCATTTGTCCCAGTTAAAAGGATGAATCGTTATAAAATACGTATGGATTATTTGCTTCTATGTTTTCTGGAGAAACTGCAGAAAACTGAGGGGACAACCCAGTTTATTTAGCTCTGGCATGGGACATGTCCCTCAGTGATTACATTGCATTCGTCCTGCTTTCTTCATTACCGGTTCTTTGTGTCCAGGACCCTGATTATCCATCTGACTCCACGACAACGCAAGGGCCTTGCTTGCAAATTGCCAGATGCCTGTTCTTCGCTTAACTGGAAATAAACCTTTCCCTTGCCATAAACCCTTCTCAGTTCCTTGGGTATTCCAAATATTGTGGATTTTAAAAGTATAAGTAAACTTATAATCTTCTTGGACTCTCCTTCCCCTTTTTAGTAATGTTTTTAACTGATCTTTATATATATTTATGTTTTTAATGTTTGTTGTGAGTCGCCCAGAGTTCCCCCACTGGGGGGAGATGGGCGGTTGAGAAATTAATTAATTAATTAATTAATTAATTAATTAAAGTCCCCAAAGCTCCAGATTTCCATTCCAAAGCGCCTGATGTATTCTTCCTTTGCGTCTGGGTTCAAAGGCCCAATCTGGGCCGCCTTCTCAGCAGAAGCCGTGCAGGAGAACTGCCTGGTCGACGCTACCCCAGCTTAATCAGCACCAAGCAAAAAGCACAGCGAGGCTTTTCTCATTTCCTAGCTCGTACATCTTAATAGGAATTCATTAATTCCTTAATAGGAGCGCAGAAGTAACTGAGTCTCTGCTGTTTATGATGCTTATCCATTATTTCCTCTGAACATAATCCAAGGGAGTCATTTTCTGGGCAAAACCAACCCCCTTACCGTTTGGATCGCTCAACCATTTCATTCTTGGAAACTGCTCTGCTCCGAATCGCCCGGTAGTCTAAACAGAGGAAGAAGACACGGGGGTGAGAGCAGCCTTGCACGCCTTCAGCCGGCCTGACTGCCAAGGAGCTCAGGCCCAGTCTGCAGCGTAAGACGATCGCCCCTGGACCGAGGGCGTCGCGGGGATGGGCCTTAGGAGAACCACCGCCCTTGGCAAGGAAGCTCTGGGGCAAAGGACGCTGCGCTTCCCTGAAAGAGAGGGGCAGGGCCCCCCTTCCTGCACGACTGGGCCCCCCTTGGAAGCCAACGCAACGCTTAAGCACCCAAACCAGCCAGCCAACAGAACAGTAAGAGCCCTGCATGGAGCAAAGCGACTTCACTTCCACAAGGGCTCTGCATGAGGAAAGGAGAGAGGCCCTGCGCTAACTACCTGTGCCAACAACCACCCTGCAGGGAAGGCCAAGCGGGATTATCCCCACAGTCCTTGTGGTGTAGGGCTAATGATACTTTTGAGAGTTTTTTTGTGCAGGAAGCGGTAAGATTAATCTGCTGACAGGAATGCCCTTTGGGAGGTCACCCGGACAGACACACCTTCGCTTCCCCACTCGGCTCAAATATCACCATGCATAAAAAAGGGCAAGCCAGGGAAAGCTGAACGTCTGTCTGTTTTGAACTCGGCACACTTCTCTTTCACTGCCTAAAATCCCAAATTGTTACCTGCCTCCTTATAAGGAAAAGCAGGGCCAATCTGTCCTTGGGCTGCAAGGGGGGCGGGTCTGCAGCCAAATTTCACAGGCTTTTCTGCTCAGACAAGAGCGGAGCAGAGATCAGCATTTTCTCTGCTTCGTGCTTAAGGGGAAAAGAAAAAGGAAGAAAAAAGGGGGCTCTGAACAGCAAAAGAGCTAAGCCGGCATGACGTTCTAGCACCTTTCACACAAAACCATTTCTCCGACCCTGACCTGCAAGAGAGACAGCAGCCTGTCCATCCAGTGAGGCGGATTTTTACCCATCTGTGTACACGAAAGCTTTATTACAACCTCCCCCAATTCCTTCAAGGACAAAAGGCAACATAAGAAGCAGTGTTTCACATGGACATGGTGGAAGCCAAGATGGTTTGCGAGTACAGAAAGGTGGGGAGATCAGTGCATGGCAGAGGGGTAAACTAGGTCTCTCAAACGTTTTCCCCCTTTTATATTTGCCTTTAATTCCTTTCTCTTGTTACCCCTTCTCCACGCCTTGCATTAACAATGCTCCCCCCAAAAGGGAACAGCAGGAAAGGCGTGTACGTACGTGTTCTCCACCTCCAGATGTGCTCCCACTGCCACTCCAGCTCTTGTGGGCATGAAGTAAGGGGAGAGCACCTGGTTGCAGAAAACTGCTTTATGCACTGGCTTCTCTCCCAAGGAAACTGGTGTCCTACCCTGGAGGAGTCTCACTCCCCGTGACGCACGGACTGTTGGGTTGGGGCTCCCTGCTGTTGACTCCCATGTGGGAGTTGGCTAGCAGGCCCCCAGCACTTCCCCTTATTTAAGTGGCAAGTTAAATAAGCAAAAGGTCTAACATAGCAGAAGCAGCCAGGGTTTGGGGGGGGTCCTTGGCATTCCCACTAAGGCTGCTTCTGCTGCCATAGAATAACCAGCCCCCCTGAACTCAGCAGTCGCTTGTTTCTTCAGCAAAGCGCAAATCGACACCACATGCGTTTTGGAGCATGGCCCACGTGTAGAATAAGGAGGCACCTCGGTTAGAAAGACCACTTGTTTTCCTATAACTCCTCACATCAGGGGGATTAAACAATTGTTCTCTCTCCCCCTGGAATACGCTCTGCAGCTTTCTTTCTTCCATGAGTAGCTTGAGGCGTTTCACACGTTCCCCAGAGCTGGAAATGAAATCAGGACGATGCACTGCAAGAGACTCCTAAGTGGGGAAATAAACGGAGGAAAAACCACCTTAGTCTCAGGGAGATGACAAAAGCAGCCCTGGAAATATGTCTCAGCAGCAGAGAATTATCTTTGCAAAGCACAGAATAAGGCCTCCATAAAGCTCAAGAGACTTCTCTCTCCGGATCTTGTTAAGAAATGCTTTGATGCTGGACAACTCACCGGAAGGACACCAGACTTGGGAATAAGTATAGCTACATATTTGTAAAAGGGAATAAATATTTTAAACAAGCAAGACAGAGACAAAGCAGAGTGCACATGGGACCAACAAAAGAAAGCTTCTAACCAAAACAAAGCAAAAGAGATCCATGGGAAAATTAAATTAGCTCACGCTCCTTCTTGGAGACAGGACTGGTATCTGCCCCAAGCAGGAAGGAGGAAGGGCACATTCCCATCCTTACAAACCCTGGACAGCCTTTGGTTCAAGAAGGCTGGAAGCCACACGAAGCACAGGGTCTTTTTATTCCAAACTGGCATTTGGTGATGGGATGGGGTCACACGATACAAGAGTCTGCATGACTGTCTCATGAATGGTACACGCAGAAAGATGCATGCATGCACATGCACGCAGACACACACACAAGCCACGAGGGTGCAAAACTTGATTGAGGCTGTGCAGAGCTGGCCTCCTTCCGGAGGCATCCGTGGGCCCTGCCTCTCCCCCTCCCTCCCTCCCTCCTTCGAGGCTTGACATAAACAGGCAGGGCCAGAAGAGCAGAGGAATGGCGCTGAGGCCATCGTTCCTCTGCTGGCGCAGGTCATGTTTATGTCTGACTCCAAGGAGGGGGCTCTGCTCTCTAGCGCTTTCCATAAATGGAGCCCCTCAGAGCACGGGGACAGAGATAACCCCTTCCCCACTCCTGCTGAAGCATTATGCTGGGCGTGGAAGGGGAAGTGCCTTGTCCCTGCGGCCCAGCATGGCAGCAAATCCCCTTTGGGGCCACCGGCGTTAGCATCCCTGGTATGGATGGGGGGGAGGGCAAAAGCCAGAGGCGAAGCCTGGATTTTACCTGCAATGTCATTTTCCCCAAAGGCGGGGGAGGCTCATTCTCAGCATCTCTTGCTGGAACCGCCAGACGCACCTGGAGGCCCCCGTGACGTTCTGGCCAGTTCTTCTCATGGAGAGGTTCTCGCCACTGCTTTCTTCTGGGCGAGGGCTCTGGCCACACCGGAGCAGGGCCAGGTAGGAAGCCAGCACCAGCCCATTCCTGGGGGTCAGGTTTTAGATCTGCTGCAGGGACAAACCAAGAAACTCCTAGAAAGGGGGCAAAGAAGAAAAGAGATGCCGAATTTCAACAGTTCTGGTCCTTGCAGAGACGGCTGATGCGCCGCAATCCAGTGTCTGCAAAGGGGGACTTCTGCCTCCCAACGGCCCTTGGATTCAGGCTGACCTCTGAGCAGCAGCAGAAGGCCCAAGCAAGTTCCCAGTTAGGCCTCCTCGTTCTAAACAAACCTTTGTTACTCTGTAGGCATCTTGCTTCTTAGATTCAGGGTTCAAATGATTTATCGCATTTAAATTGAGCCTTCCTCTAAAAACTAAGGACCTCTTCTCGTTGCTGTTTCTTAGTCTTACACTATGACCCCCTTCCCCATCTTCACATTTTGGTCCTGGTTATTAGATTAAGGCTTTTAACTTTTTCAAAAAAAATAATTCTGTATTCTCTGTCCAGTTCTTTCACCAATTTCTGTCCTGGCAATTTGTATTATCTTCCTTTATTTCAATGTTCCATCTGACTTTCCCTGTGGCATAAGGGTCTCTTATACAGTGTCTGGTGAATTTCTTAGATTCATATCCCACCTTTATTCTTTACAACTCAAGGCAGTCTACATACCTAATGCTCCCACCTCCTCTTTTCCCCGCAACAACCCTGTGAGGTGGGTTGGGCTGAGAGAGAGAGAGACAAAGACTGAGACCAGCCACCTTCAGGGCCCAAGGAGGACTAGAACTCACAGTCTCCTGGTTTCTAGTCCAGCACCTTTGGCATTACACCAGCTGGCTCTTGTAATGCAGCACAAACAGATGCAACCCACGAGAGCCCCCCACGTTACTCCAAAGCAGCCCCCCCTTTCCAGAGACCTTGCATCCACTGCGACGGACTCCTTCTCGGCCTCCTCTCTGCCAGGAAGCTGCCCGGCTGCCGTTTCTGCTGGTCCTTGTCTTCCGCCGGGAGCCCGTCTCGCTGAGCAAACTGATTCTCTGTCCTGCTCCTGGCCCCTCCCTGGAGCGTTCCTTGGCTTGATGTCGGGGTGGGGAAAGTCAAGCCCACATCGCGGGTGTGCTTCTTAGTGGCGCTGTTCACAATCTCAAAGTCTCCTGGGATTCAAAGGAAACACGTTTTGTCCCTCGATGCAGCAACAACAGCAGTTGCTACTGCTAAGATGCTCTTGGGGACCCTCCTGGGAGCAATCACAATGAAAGCTTGGGGTGGGAGGAGGGGGCCAGGGCCCTCCTGCTGCTCTGCAGAAGTGAACCCGGTACAGTGCCCTGAGAATGGGGGAGGACTGGAGAGCGACAGGTTGGGGAAAGCCGCTGTAGACTATGCTGGCTGGGGGATTCTGGGAGTTGAAGTCCACACATCTTAAAGTGGACAAGGTTGAGAAACACTGGCCTAGGGTATCCAAAAATTTGAAGGAATTTAGTAGCACCTTCCCAAATAACCAATTTTGTTAAAAGGCATAAGATTTCACTCATGCCTCTTAAGAAGACTTGCTAGTCAGAAAAGGTGATATTGGCTCCTTCTGATGTTCATCTCCTGCACAAGGAAGTGTGGGACCTACAATGAAGTGTGCCATTCCAGCTGTTCCTGGATCAAGTTTAGCAGATTCATTGCTAGGGAAAGGAAACGCAGATCTCCCCTCCACAAACTCTCTAACTGCAAAAAAGCTCATGGCAAATGAATTTAATAACCTCGCATTTCATTTTCCATTTGTCCATGCAGCATTTTAAAATTGCACTAAAATATTCAGGGTGGTGGGAGATGACTGAATACATCTCTAAAAGTGGAGTTTGTACCTTTCCTTCCCATTCTTGAGTGGAAAAAAACCCCCTGTGACTAGTGCAGATTAGCAAAGAGCTCAGGATAATGTTATTATATTGCAGAAGAATGAAGTTCAGGAAGGCCCTGACAGGCCAGCTAGTAATTTTGAAATTTATTGGGATGTAGTGGCTTTGACAGTCGTTTATTAAACCCAGAAATTAAAGACAAGAAACCATCTCAAATGTTTGTCTGGAGAAAAAAAAACCCTGAATATAATATACAAGACAGGATAGGAAACTAATCTAGCACAAATTGCTCATCAACTATGCGAGAAACAATAATAAACATGCACGTTTCCCTTATTAGTAATTAATGTAATTTGGAAATCATCTGCACAATTGAATAAATGGGAGCCAAGACACAGCTGGTGGACAAACTGCATTTCACTCCAAGGCATTTAAAAAAAATTATTCTGGAACAGTTAAACCCAAGAGGAAACCCCACTCGACTTATTAAAATGGGCTCAAAAATATATCTGAAAAAAAAAATCTTTGATTTCTTCCTTTCTTTCTTGCCTCTTGCTTTCTGAGCCTTTAAAAAAAATGCTATCAAGCTGACAAATTCATCTCAAGGACCAGAAAGGCCAGAAGTCTATCTTGGTATTCAATCAACAATACTCAGGACTTGCTGGTTATCAATGTGGAGGTTTGCCTTGATGGGCAACTTCTACTTCAGAAGCAGGGGGAAGCTGTGGCCAGGGGAGCCTTCACCCAGCTATGGAGGGCATGCCAGGTATGACCCACCCAGGAGCCAGCCAACCTGGCGATGGTGACTCCTGCCCTTAGCACCACCCAGCTGGACTATGGCAATAGCTCGACGCTGGACTGCCTTTGGAGTCAACCTGGAAGCTACAGCTGGCACACAACCCAGCAGCTAGACTCCTGATGGGTTCACCCCATCAAACAAGAGCAACACCTACTCTGAAGTTGCTGCCTTGGTTGCCAATGGGCTTCTGGATGCAAATGAAAGTGCTGGGTACCACCTTCCCAGGAGAGCACCAGGATGTATCAGGCAACTTCTTGCCAAAATCAAATCTGCCCTGCAGTTTTTAGGAAGGGGCTGTTCTGTATGACCCCTGCTCGTGAGACTGATGGCTCTGGGTCAGACAAAAGGCCTTCTCTGGGGTCAGCCCCATTGTACAAAACACTCTTCCCCCAGCGGTACATGACCACAAGCATCCTGAAAACAGGCTGAAGGAAGGACTTCCGGGGGAGGGAACAGCGAACTAGACATCTCTGAAGGAGCAGAGACAACGATGCGGCCAAGACCAACAGACCACTGGCGAGCTCAGTCCAATGGAGCCTCTCCAGATAAGGAGAGGACAAGAGATCCTCCACTTGTGCTCCAGGTGGCTGCTCCTCAGGAGGAGACCACAGCAACCTGCGGGTCTGAGAGCTGGGAGACGAGGGAAGCCATGAGATCAACCATGGCACTGATCATCAACAGGAGGTTCATCCAACCTCACTTTCTAACCACTTTTGGATTTATAATTATTTTAAAGTTAAAAGAGGTCTTCCAAGCAGCAAGTTTGAAAAGCTACCTGGTTAGTAAAACTTCATCCCAAAACAGAGGAAAAACTAACTACCAGCTTAAGGAAATTAAAGAATATAAAATAAATGGCAAAAAGCTAAATAAGAATTTAATTCAAGAAAGTTATAAACAAATTAAGGGACCAGATAAATTTGGAATATTAGGACTTTTGCTAAGACTTTTCAAATAACTAAGTAAACAAATTATTATCTTTGTGGGAACATACACTGTTTATTCTATCAGGAAAGAAATGACTGGTTGAAATTTGAAAATAAAGAAATAAAGAAACCTGAGACTTTGTGATTATAGAAATGGGACACTAGAGGGGACTACAGTTCCAGGCAGAAAAGGGGGGGGGGAACAAAACACAGGGAACCTGTCTTCTATACTTGAATGAAAGAAGAGCAGTGAAATTTACAAAATGACAGACAAAAATTCAAAGGATTTTTGAAGAATTGGGAGATAAACGTATAGCTAAACTGACAGCAATAATTTCTGCACCTGCAAATGCATTTTTTGAAAAAGAAAAAAAAATGTGAAAGAGAACAATGTGGAAGAACTTATAAACTGACAGGACAAAGAGGAAACAAACTCCAGCTGATGTAGAAACATTAGAAAACAAAGAAATTGTGGATTAAAGGACAGAGATGACAGCTAAAGTGATATTAAAAATGACCTGGGCAAGGACTTATTATCGAATTTATAAAGAGGATTTCTAAAGCCTTGAAGGAATCTTTGAGACAGGAGAAAGAAAGTTTGAATGGAGATTCAATCCTATGACAGCAACTTAAGTCATTTAATTAAAGATCTAAAGATTGTTAGAAGCAAAAGAAAGGAATTTAAAGCTGACTTGTTTGATCAGGATTAAAATAAGAAATATTTCTATAAAATTCTGGAAACCCTTTATGGACTTTTTGCTGACTCTTGAACAGAAAAGACAATTTTTGGAATTGTGAATGGATAAGGGGGGGAGGTATGGCAAGAAGTGAAATAATATGCATGTAATCTTATAGTTGTGGGGAAATATTAAATTTGCCAGTACTTGTTGCAAGGAGTATCAGGAATCACTTCTTTAAATATTCTCCTTTCTATTTCTCTTCTTTTCTCTTTCTTTTTCTTTTTGCACTTTGTATTTCTTTTCTTTCTATTTTCTTTTTTTCTTTTCTTTTAGTTTACATTATCTTTTAGCACTGTTAAACTCTTTAATAAAAAGTATTTTATTAAAATAGGCTGAAGGAGTACTGTTCCAGCAAGCATTTGGCTTTGAATTAGGTGAATGGGGTCTTTCTTACATTAGGTGGTTTTTTTATTGATTATGTCTATTATTTATATGCTTTTAATGCATTTCGACGGGACTTTGATGTACCCTGCCCAGACTCTAACACGATTAGGGCAGGCTAAAAGAATTGTAAAGTATGTATTTATTTGTTCATTTATTTAACACATTTATCGAAGGAGCTCTGCTGGTGAACAAAAATAAAAACAAATCAACTATAACAGATCCATTAAAAAGGAACTGGGTCAAGTCCCCTAAAAATCACATTGTCAGCTCACCAAACAAGCCATATCCATACCAGAGCTGCATCAAAGACCTAATGCAGACACAGGTCTTCACAACCTTCCAGACGGCCTAAAGGGGCAGAGGGGAGGCTGTTCCAAAAGAGAGATGCCATGACAGAGAAGGCACAAATCCTAGGGCCCACTAGGTGACAGTGCTTCACCAATGAGACCTGCCGCACATCAGATACAGTGGTATGGGCAAAAACCATAAGGGAGAGGCAGTCCCAAACGTAATCTGGCCTCATGCCATGGAGGGCTTGACAACCAACATCTTGAATTGCATACAAAAGCCCTCTGGGGGCCAGTGCAGCTCCCATAGCAATGGTGTTACATGGGCATATTGTGGTCCACCTAATATGGTATGGTCTGGATCAGCTGAAGCTTCCAAATGGTGTTCAAGAGGAGCCTTGTGTAGACCACATAACAATAATCCAATCAGGAGGTAACCAGGACATATGAGATTGGACACATCTGGTGCACAAGATGGACCTGCCCAAAGGCCATCCTAGCCATCACTACCACCTGCTCCTCAAGCAGGAGCCATGAGTGCAGGAGAACTCCCAGATTGCCACCAGAATTAACAGCAGAAAATCACTAGAAGGGCCTTAAAACCTATAGCTACTCAGTCTTTGTGATGGAATGTAATAGAGCACCAGGTTTTCAGGAAGAAGGGAGCACATTCCAGGATGGAGGGGGGGATGGGGGGGGAGACAAGAGGCAGTCCAGTCCAGAGCAGGAGTGTAGGAAAAAGAAGAGAATTAGGATAGCCACTCCCTAGAATCTCCCAGGGTATATCCACTAGGTTATATTAGTACAGATTTAGGCTGGCAAGATTCTGTCTATATGGTGTAAGCATTAAAAGACCTGAACTTGGTTGGATTGTTTCCCTGTTGTTCTTGGGCTGGGCCTGACAGTCTTGTCAGGGTTGAGCTAAAGTTGGTTCTTCCACATCCAGACCCACACAGACTCCATGGCTCAGTGGTATCCCTTGGTTGGCCCAGGGCAGAGATGTAAAACTGAGTATCGTCAGCATACTAATGACAGCCAACCCCATGCCGATGGATGACTAGTGGATTCATGTAGATGTTAAATAGGAGCATAGAGAGAGTTGAGCCCTGTGGCCCCCCACAAAGGTGCTTAGGGGTGGGCCTCTCCCCACTCCCAGCACCAATTGGAACCAACCTCAAAGGAAAGAAGAGAACCAGTGGAGAACCACACCCCCATTTCCAGCCCCCTGAACAGATCCAGAAGGATTCCACGATCAGTGGTAACAGTTACTAAAAGAGGACCAGGATGGCTACACTAGTCCCACCTGGGTCTGCCAGAGGTCATCCAGAAGCGGATCAATGCTGTCTCGGTACTATATCCCAGCCTGAAACCCAACTGCAACAGGTTCAGATAATAATCATCCAAATAGTAATAAACATGTTTATTTATATAAATATACTTATTTATTTATTTATTTATTTATTTATT